CAGACAGACAGACAGACAGACCCACACATACACACATGCACGCAAACACACACACACACACACACACACACACATATATATATATATATATAACATTTCAGATATATAACACATAATATATAATACATGCTATGATATGTACTGTATATCTATATATATATATATATATTATACGGCAAAAGGGAAAGAGAGGATTTAGAGAGGGTTGGTGCTTAATTGTGGGGATAGGAGAGAGCGGGAGAGAGTGCGATCAGCTACTCAATCCAGAGTTTATGTTGAGGGTGTGTACCAGTGTACCAATTTGTTGCCAGATTGCTGCCGGGCAAACACTGCCACCCAACATTGCCAGGTATGCTGTCCTTCAAAGTCTGAGCTCTAGACCTGCTGCTGCAACAATTCCTCTAAACCATAGACTACAACTGCCAGCTCCCAAACGGTTGTGATCGAAAGAGGCCGGCTGGGCATCTATAATCTTCGAATGTTCTCGAGGGAGAACTGGACTGGCTCATCGACTGACTTCGCGGACCTTCGAAGCGTAGGGTTTCTACCAATCCTCGGATCTCGGACATTGAAAATCTTGGGGCGTCGAGCTCATTTATAGCTCCGTCTCGGGAAGCGCCAGCGGCATCGCCAGCCGGAAACCCTGAACATCCCGGCAGACAAAGCACCTCCGCGACGCTTCGGCTTCCCAGAAACACCGGTCACAACCTTGTGGTGCCTGATACGTCTTAGTTTCGTCAGCAACGATGGTCCCAAACAGCGCACTTTAGCCTGCCGTTGTGGTCTCCGGGGTAGCCACGCGCACGCCAAAACATTTGCTGTTCTTTTCACGGCTTGAGCTCCGGGACCCCAAGGCCCTAATTTGGCCTTTGGCCGTGGTTCTGGAAACGAGCCCGAAACTGCGGCGGAAACCGTATGGACTCCTGGTGCATCCCCTATGCAACACCTATCAAACCCCATCTGACATGATGTAAGTATTAAAAGAGGAACCCATAGCCTTTTCAAGCGCCATCTGTACCACCAACAACAACAACCACAACCTAACGACAACAGCTTTCAGCAACAGCAACAGCAACAGCAACAACAACAATGACAATGACAATAACAACAACAATGACAATGACAATAACAACAACAATAACAATAACAATAA